TTTTTTTTTTGCCAATTCTTGGTTTCTTTCCTTGAAAATAAAGAACCACCGGAACAGGAATGAGGCTGGGGTCCTTCTCACCCTGAATGGCTTTCGTGGCGAGACGTCAAAAGAATAGAAAGGGAAGAGATTTGGATTGGAGTGGGGTCTTTTTGCCCTTTGTATTACAGGATTCCCCCCCCCCCGGTGACATTCCAGAGATGGCGGTTAGCAGGTGGAGCCAAATCGTGCAAGAAGAATTCTTCCCACCCCACTTTCCGTGGGGTATGGCGATCTTCTCCATTGCTTTTCGTAGTCGGAGAGACGGAGCTAGTCCGACTGGGGAAGAAAAAGGCCAGTTTGAACGAGAGGGAAATGTCCCTTCCACTCCGCTAACCCGCTTTACGAGTTACGGGGAAGGGTGCCCCCCTCCTAACAGGCGGGGTTGTTAAGCAACACACACACCCCGGGAGCTTTGCTGTGTTTTGTGCTTCTAGAAAAGCCGAAACGAGACAACATAAAAAATTGGGAAAGTATCTCCTGGGTGGTGAGATGGCTCAGCGGAGGATGGGACAAGGAGGAGGTGAAGAAGACAACTTTTCCACGGATCACGAGCTTCGCTGATAGGCTCATTCGGAAGACTCGGGCACCGGCGTGCCGACCCAGCTCAAGGAAGAGAAGTGGTTCGCAGTCCAATGAATGGACGTCAGGGGAGAGATCTGGAGTGATCAGAAGAATCGGTTCTCGAGTGGCGGCACGCTCAGCACGGATGAGAGGCCGGAGGCCCACGGCACGATGTGGCGGCTATGCATTATAAAAGCAGTCGGCAGGCCAGGTCCTTGGCTGGATCAAAAACAACCCCCCACCTTTTTTGGGGGGGGGTGAAGTTGGGACCCTCCCTCCCTCCCACCCACCCCCATCCCTCTCCAGCAAAGCCCGATCGAGACACAGGAAACGCGACACGGGTGAAGTGAGCTCAGCGCAGCTCTCAGTTGGCAGATGGTTCGGATGGAGGTGGCGCCGCGACGGAGTCCTTGCCGTTCCCCCTTTCAGGCCGGCTTGGTGCCAAAAAGTCCCACGGGGAAATGCTTGACGTGGGTGGGCCACTGGGCGGCCAGCTGAAAGAACTTGATGTCGCTCCATTCCACTCCGTCGATGGAAACTACGAAACAACGGGGGGGGGGGTGGTGGTGTTGGTCAGTGGATCAGGAGACCTTGTCGAAAGCTGCACTTCTATTGAGAGAGTCAGCTTAGAACGGGGGTGAAGGTGGAAAGCAGGAGACACAGAGTTCTAGTTTTGCCTTAGGCATGAAAGCCGGCTGGGCGACTGTGGGCCAATCGCCAGAAGATAGGGAATTCTAGTCCCACCATAGGCATGAAAACCGACTAGGTGACTTTGGCCCAATCACCAGGAGACGGNCCTCAATCAAGTCAATCATAGCACATGTCAATCACAACCCATCTCAATCAAGTCAATCATAGCACACATCAATCAATCAATCAATCAATCAATCAATCAATACCCTCAATCCAATCATAGCCTGTGTCAATCACAACCCACTTCAATCAAGTCAATCATAGCACACATCAATCAATCAAAACCCTCCTCAATCAAATCAATCACATCCCACAATCGATCAATTCAATTCATTCATTCAATCAATTACCCCTCTATCCAATCAATCCATCACAACTCCCTCTGAATCAATCAATTCAATCAATCCAACCAATAGCTGAAGTACTTTACGAAACAAATCCACCTCAAGAGATAATTTTTTTAAAAAAAACAACACAATTTATTTAATGAAAAAAAAAAAGAAAAAAACCCACAAGGAAGTGGTTGATAAGACAACGGAAACCCCCCCCCCCGAAGAATCAAATGCATTAATATGCCAAATCCGGCTACGAAACCCAGAAATTCTAAATATGGATCGTTGGGAGAGGTATGTTGGGGGGCGGGGGGAAACCCTCGAAATCTGCATTCCGAACGAAGGAGAGGAACCAGCATAGTTACAAAAAGAAACAACAGAAAAGAAAAATTATATATATACAAAACTCATATTTATGTACAGTAGCCGAGAAGAACCATGTGAAATGCCGATCGCTCGAAATCAAAGGGATGTGCAAATTCGACAGCGGACAAGGAAACACCCACGGCCCTCAAATGGAGTCACTGTAACAGTCAAGACGGGGGTGGTGGTGGCGGCTTCGCGGTGAGGAGGCAAAGGGGGGACGTTTTCAAGGCGGGCAACTGGGAGACACCCGCCCCCCTAAAATCAGGGGTCCTTTTGCGGGAGTGTCACCATTATTTGAGCTCCTTTTGCAGAACGGAAGAGAGGCCTGGAGGCGCCATCGTACCCATTTGTAGCAGCGCACCCCACCTCTGACTTCCGATCCGGGAGACGTTCTCCACTGTTCTCGCGGGCTTCCGAGCCACCGGCTCGGTGGTCCACAGCTCAGGAGTATGGGTCTTTTGACCAGGGTCTACCTCTGACACTTCAAGCCTTGGGGAATTGGATGGGAATTCGGAGCAGGCCGGGTGTCGAGGATTGGTGGGATCCATTTCTTGCCAGATTTTGGCAAGGGGTTTTTGGCAATTCCCTTTCCCAGCCTCTCTCTGGAGCAGCAGGAAAATTCAGAACTGTGCTTAATTATATATGTCCTCTGCGCTAGAGGGAGGGATGGTGTTGATGGTCCCTAGGAACCAGAAGTCCGCTGGGGTGGAGGAACAGGTCGGCAGATAGGAGCCAAAATCAGGGCGGAAAATAAAAATAGAAATATGGGGATTGTAGTCACCAAGATTTAAACCAAGGAAATGAGATCCTCTCTAAGCTGGCTGATCCCTCCAAGATTTCAAGGGGATCTCGCTAACCGGACGTAAAGTTTTGTTGCTGGATAGTCTTTATTCTCATTATTTTTTACCCTTTTAACCCAAAACTGAACTCTGGAACTCTCTCGTAAGGGTGGGGGGGAGAAGGAATGTCGGAAAGATTGGACGACACCCTGTTTGGGGAGGGGGGAGGAAAACCCACCCGGTGTGGGTGTATCGGAGAGCTCCCTTAAAAAGGGGAACTGTTTGTTTTATTGCTGATGAAATGGAGATCAAGAGATCTGGGCTGACTTAAAGGGAAAATTAATTTTTTTTAAAAAAAGGAGGGGAGGTTAAGATAGTATGTTTTATCCCCTGGAATTCCAGCGTCCGGGTTTCGATTTTTTTAGAGAAGTGTGAAAGGGGTGATTTTAAAAAAGGATGGGGTGGAAAGAAATGGATCGGAGCGAGGTCGTGAAGACGGGATCGGAGCGAGGTCATGAAGACGGGATCGGAGCAAGGTCATGAAGACGGGATCGGAGCGAGGTCGTGAAGACGGGATCGGAGCGAGGTCGTGAAGACAGGATCAGAACGAGGTCGTGAAGATGGGATTAGAGCGAGGTCGTGAAGACGGGATCGGAGCGAGGTCGTGAAGACGGGATCGGAGCGAGGTCATGAAGACGGGATCGGAGCAAGGTCATGAAGACGGAATCGGAGCGAGGTCGTGAAGACGGGATTGGAGCGAGGTCGTGAAGACAGGATCAGAACGAGGTCGTGAAGATGGGATTAGAGCGAGGTCGTGAAGACGGGATCGGAGCGAGGTCGTGAAGACGGGATAGGTTCAGATTTAAATTGTGCTTAAAAGCATTTTTTTTTCTTGGAGCACAGATATAGAGGGATCTCCATTTTCAATTTCCAGGGCTAAATTTTCAGGGTTCTACCTTCCCGTTGCAAAATCCGTATTCCAAATTTGAGGACTTTCAAACGAGGAAAATCCAGCGGGTTTTGAGACCGTGTGAATTCCACCGGGAGTCTTTTTTTTTTGCCAATTCTTGGTTTCTTTCCTTGAAAATAA